CTATCCAGCAGCTTTGAATAACAGTTTGTTTACTTAAAATGTGTGTCTTCGTGTGCATAGAAGGCTAATTCTATCTGCCTTGACTCTGTGAGGTCTGTTGTTGTAAGGAGGTTTATGCAAAGCTGATAAATTTCACGGCTCCACCATGTGACAGAAATGTGACATTCCTGGGGTGTGGACCCACAATGTATCACGTATGTTCGGTTCCTTTGCTGGAACGAATTTAAAGTAATTTTTAACAACCTTATCGGAAAACAAGCTTGCCTCCCGACAATGCCCCCTATTCATTTTCCACAAGTCCCCATTGTATGATTGAATCACAAGAATTGCTCCACTGCAGGCACAATATGTGCCTAAAATAATCAAATTAATACTTTCCTTAGGAAATCTACTCATTGACTTGTTTGTTCAACCATAACAAAATGTTGTTTTTCACCAAAGGTCGCACAACACACAACTCAAACAAGCATCCATTGATGCCGAAGTTAAGTAGCACAGAAGATACAAGGGAAAAGATAATCAAATAGTGAAATAGTAGCAAACGGGGATGTCCGAAAGAATGAAACAGCCTTGTGACTTTATCTGTTTTTCTTCTAATCATAAAGTCAGCCAAACAATTGGAGGAAATTTTTTCTGACACAAAGTAGAAAGTTTCATTGATTCAATATACAAAAATGATACATTTGAGAAAAATCATTTATAGTAGACAAGAAATGCTGTCCTATTAAAAAGTATAATCATATACTGTATCGTGCACTGTTTAGTTGATTGAGATGTCTTTTGCAAGAATTATTGCATCAACGTAGCATTGCATGGAAGTGATCAGACTACGGCTGAGATGCAGTTGGCTTTGGTGTCCCAGAGAATTATCTCATAGATTCTGTATGATGTTCAGGTGGTCAATGAAACAGACACTGATATTACTTTACAGCAGAGGGAGGCATGGAGCTACTCTGACTTTGGATTTGATTAAATACAGTGAACAGTCTGTAGAAGTTGGTATGAATACCATAGTCATCAAATTTTACTTTGGACTACAAGTGACATGGATTCCATGGCTCTCCCCTCTTTATCTAGACTGTGGGGCCTTAATATCCAAATAAAATACAAAATTTTCATTCAGCAGAAAAGAGGAGTTTACATCACTGAGCCAGAGCCTTGCACGGGTTACCTGCTGAGTAGCTAAGCCTTGACTCCAGCTGCCTTTCATGTTTTGTAAATCTCCTCCAAACTTTTAAATGGGCTTTGCTTATCATCCTTTCAAAGCTTTGATTTCCTTATGTACTATAGCAGCTTTTTATTGTCATTGTAAACCAATTTAAGAAATCTACAGTTTTGTTTGAAGACTGTTATTACAGTAATAATAGTAAAACCAGGGTGTAACTATGAACATGGTTTACATTTATCACAGGAGTCTTTGTTGTCTTTCCATGCTGAAAAATCCCCTGATATTGGAAACATAATCTCATTAAAGGTACGTAGAAAGCCAGAAAGAATGTTGAGATTCTAAAGTTTGACTATTTCTTTTACTCTCTTGTGTCAGTAAAGTTAAGATGACTACAACAATAAATGTCATTATGGTCTTACCATACATGTTTTATGATCTCCTTCAAATCAAGAGAAGGAATGCACTTGTTCGCTGCTGCCCTCTGGTGATTTACTACAAAATTGAAAGATTAAGATAAGTAGAACATAAACGTGGAGAGGTTGCATTGGAATAGGACCAGAAAAATCCTCCAGTCACACAAGCATCCATCATTTCCATCAGTCATTTATTTGTAGGTAACCCTGAACTACACTCCTCGTGTAACTAAAGCCCTCCTGCCCACAGGACCAATACATTCGATTTCAACTTTTTTGTCAATAAAAGCAAGACCAAACAGCTGTCAGCTGACGTCTAGCATAGAACACTAGATCTGCACAAGGTTTTGGTGGACTACACCAAGAACTTGGGTAACAACTCATGGTGCAACTCTTCAGAATTGGAGTAAAAAGGTCTGGAGTATCATGCAAAAGTATTGCCTTAGGGGGTGAAGATGAGGTATCAGTTTACCACATCACTCAAAGAGTTTCTTTGTGAAACAAAGACTGTTGAGACCAGAATTATTTAGAATTTTCATCTCTATGCTATGAAAGGGCTACAAGCCCATATTAGGTTTTCTGGTAAACTTACAAATAATGGCCTGGACTAAAATTAAGCTCTGTGGTGTCAACTTGACACACAATGATATTTAGCCAGGAATTCCGTCCTCACAGTTAAGCACAGAGATGGAAACATTATGCTATGGGGCATGTTTTTTGTGCTAAGGGTACAGGTGCACTTATCTCCATTGAAATGAAAAATTATGAGTAACATGTTCATTATCTTGTACAAGAATTGTCATACTTCAACCACAACACTGATAATGGTTTTCCTTTCATGTAAATGACCTAAAACATTCCATCATGACAACAAAAGAGTCTCTAGGAAACACGTTAAGGTCACTTAGTGTCTTGGAAAGTCTCCAGACCTTCATAATATACTATATATAAAAAATCTACCCTCTGCACTAGGAGACACAAAGGATTTAAAGTTTTTTTGTAAATAAAGATGGACAACATTCCTCTGGAGATGTTTGCAAACCCAGTGAAACATTTCATTGTCGTATTCACCAATATTTCTATGGTGTACTACGTTTTGATGAAAGGTCCAATAAAATTGTAAATCTTTTTTCACTTAATGTCCTCCGGATCATTTTTAAAAAAAACTTTTAGATAATGTACTCTTTGTACTTTGTCCCTCTTAAAATAAAACTGCTATTGGAATTACAATTAATGCCCAGTCTGACCATCTAACATGTGTGTTAATTTGTCTTTTTTTGCAAAGTTTCTTCCTATCTTGTTGAGTTGTTTCTGTTTATGCATTGACATTTAGGGTGTTCAGTTTTTTACACATTTCAAAGTAATGTCTTTGGATTGCTGCTGTATTCAGAGTTACCTTAAGATGCCAAAATCAACCATGTGTTATGAATTCTCTGTAGATTAATGTTGTGTGACTATAAAATTCTAAATTAATCCTTGTTTTGATAGATAGTCCAGACACAAATTGTCTGCCTCAGCTAAGGAAATGGTTCTTGACTTAAGTGACTCTTACACAACTATTTTTAGTGCTATGTAAATCACTAATAATTTGGCCAGTGATGGATCTCCGTCATTCCATGTCTCCTGTCATTAAACTCTGATTTGTCATTTTGACCATCAGAAGAGTGTGACAGTTGAAATATAGACACTCATAAAACGCAGCTTTCTGTAACTCAGTACTTATTACACTTTGGCACATAATATGTTGGCATTTTAGAAAAACCTTCAACTTCTTTGAAATTATAATACTTCATTCATTTTGAAGCACCATTTTTGTATAAAATTTGGGATGGATAAAAGACAGAACTCAAGCTGAACTTGAACTCTCATACACCACACAGAGAGCTTGACTATACATTTGAAGGAAAAGAATATGTTTTTGAACAAATAAAAATCTTTTTATTTTACAAAAAAAATAGTAATGTATTCTTGTTGCCTCTCTTTCAGGTGTTTCCTTGTGACGCTCTGGAAGAACCTCCTTGAAGCCCGAGATCCTGGCTTCATGATGCCATGGATAGTTACTAGTGATGGGTAAATGAGGTGTCATGAAGCATTTCGACCCATAGTGAAACTGTATTGATACTGTGTCACTGAATACTGACATCTGCTGGACATTAAAATCCCTACAGGCAACGTAGCGGACAGACTGATTTGATGACCTAGTCTATACAATAAGATTTAAGTCATTGTATTTTATTATTTATTACATAGTGTGCCGTATCCTCAGTTAAATTCAAAGTATATTTGATATTCTTAGATACAGTCAATAAATAATGTGAACGTACGATCAAGTGAAAACTGTAGTGAACGTGTTTGGAATGAGGATGCTTGTGGACTGTTTGCGTTTTTTATCACAAATTTTTATTTAAAAAAAAGTTTTCCCAACATTTTGAAATGTAGTCTGTAGCGCTTTTTTGCAGAACTTCTCCTGCTGTAGAAAACATAAAGTAAACTATACATTTATATGAAATCATTTATAAAAAGCAGAGGAGTAATTTGTAGAATGGCTATATACCTGAGTTTGGGTGTATTCTGATTCCTGGCCCTATAGTGCCTCGGCATTGAGGAGGTGGGTTTATTTAAATAAGACAGTTCTGTCAAACATATGCAACACTTAATCTGCAGAACATAATATGAAAGTAAACTAAGAGTCAATTTCAGCTGAATTTGGATTCAGATAGATCATAGATAACAAGAACCACACATTTTCAGTTTTCATCATTGTTAAAATAAACTTTATTCATCTGATTATCTGTTCTCCTGGTGTTCTGTATATGGGAAAAGAAGCTAGAACCCATCATGACAATATTTAGATATTCAGAATTATCAGACACGGACTGTAAGATACATTTTAAAAAGATAGCTACTTTTTTTTTTTTTTAGATTGTATTTGTAAAAATGAAGCATTTGATTTGAGGCTGTAATATGATAAAAATGAAAATCTGTCATCAGACTATATATAGCTATTTGGTTATCAGTCATTAATTCATAGTGTAGCACTGCGACAAACTGGTGGCCTGTCCAGGGTGAACCCGGCCTGTCCAGGGTGACCCCGGCCTGTCCAGGGTGAACCCGGCCTGTCTGAAACGTTCGCTTCCCGACCCCACTGGGGACACGGGTATATAGAAAATGGATGGATGGGTTTGTAGCACAAAAAGTTCCAGAAATAACCAGCTATTTCATGCTTTTATTCATCTATTTTTTTCTAAACTTAGAAAATCTTTGGATAGTTTTACCACACTGGAATTTAAAGTTGGTTTGTTTAGTGAAAGACACTGCATTGCATTAGATTTGGCAACGTAAGAGGAACGTTTTATTTTTAGTTGTTTCCACCCGGCCCCGTTTGATGCGCACTGTCGAGATTTTGTTTCCTTAGCAACTGTCCCCGCGATAGCAACAATGTATCACACCTATCAACGAAAGAGCAAATGCAACAATTCAAACTTTTAGTTGCTCTCTATTCATAGATGTAGCGAGTCGTTGCCATATTGTTTTTCTTTCCTACAAAATGTCTTTTCAGGAATCAACTCGTCCCTCCGATGATGATGAGGTTTTCTACACGCAATGTCGAGCTGCTTATCTTGCTGTGTTCCGATCAAGTTTGTCTAATATCTCTTCAAAACAACAGTTGTGTCGGGGTAAGAACCGCTTTTAAACCACTTGCTAATTTGCTGCACAACGCTGTGTGATTGTAACTCCTATTAAAATCTACCACTTTGCCTTGATTTACGTGAAAGCTCAGTTTTACGTCGAAGTCAAGATAAATGCGTCTTTGGTAGAATAGGACAAAATGTAAAGTGTCACTGAACCGTTGCAAATCGCTGACTTAGGTCTCAGTCGACCATTTTGATTTTCCACAATTTAGACCACATAATTCTAATTTTATAATACCTTGATTTGTAATCAGGAAAACTATAATAATGTCAAAGGCAGGGGGGAAAAAATACATCGATTAAGTGCACATCGGTATTAGTGAAAATTAATAACATACAGTTCTGAACCAACTAGCTCCCAGTCAGACACTTTAATAATATTATTAAAAGTAGCTGTAGTTTTGAAGACAAACTGGTATAAAAAATATATAAGAATTTTAAAAACTGTATTAAACTTTCTGTTATATACAGTCCTTTTATAAAACCATGCTTGGAGGTGATCAAATGCAATTGGCTGATATACTGGGAAGTACCTAATGACAACACAAAACTGTAGCTCCAGTTTTGAATCGTCTGACTACAGAAATATCGATTCACTACATTTTTTTAAATTGGTTAACTTTTTTCTTTCTTTTAATCACATCAGCTTTAGATTTATCTGGCGTAGTCACAAGAAGCATTGGTGGTTCTCAGTCTTTATTGAGTGTTCTTCAGAATAAATTAGTTTGGTTTTACTTATTTAATAATTAAATGCCAAACTATTGAAAAATGCGTTTTTTGATGGAGACAAACTTTTTTTAAAGATGTTGTTTATGTTTCCACTCTCCTTGTTCCATCTTTGTTTTCTGTTTTTACTGACAATCATATGAATATCATGTTTTTTATTTATCTTGTTTAGTTCTCCAGCAGGCTGGTAGAAATCCGTCCCACGCGATTCTCAATAAATACTGGACTTCGGGAACATCTAAGCTAAACTTTGATGACTTCTGCGAGATTCTGAAATGTGAAAGGAAAACTGAGGAGGCTGAGCTAATGAATGCTTTCAGAAAACTGGATGTAAACTGTGACGGCTACATCACGCACAGCGTCCTGGAGAAGGCTCTAACATCTGTAAGTAAAATGTTTTTTTTTAGAATCTTATGAAAAATATGTTCCATAAAGTGCAGAATATTCTCTCAACATTAGCTTCTCATTTGGTGGTTTAATTTCTGATGGTTACGATCATTTAGCATAGGGGTCTTCAACCTTTGACTTTTTCACTCATTTTATTTGAAACAAATGTGTGTGTACAACTCAAGAAAGTGGATTCAGTTTTTTGTTGATGACTTTATTCTTGGAACATCAAAGTTAAACTTTGATCACTCGTCAGCATCTAGGTATTTGGAAAAGAAACTGTATTTTTTTTATTCTCCACCGATTGCCAAAAAATGTAATCCATTCAGCCATTTTGTCTGGATTAAAAACAACAGAGAACTCTGGGAAATTAGAAGTTTAAAACTATGGAATTTTACTTTTAGAAATGTTTCATAGTAGCAAATGTCAACGGGAAGCTCCTGTCTTGGACAGCAGAGAGCATGAAACTCTTTTGAATTCATTGAACTCATTGAACTGATGTAGATACATCAAGAAGTACATCAAGATGTACATGAAGATACATCTAGATGTATCTACATCATGATCGGTCAGGATATTATTTGAAATTGTTTTTGTTGTTGCAGAGCGGTGAGAAGATGACAGCAGAGGAGATAAATGCTCTTTTTTCATTGGCAGACATTAACAAGGATGGCAAACTGGATTATGCTGAGGTATGCTCAGGCAAGCTAAGTAAATAGTTCCATCCAAACGACATTCTTTTGAACTTTTTCAATTTCTGTGCTGATATTTTTGTTTGTTGCAAATCTATATGGATTTGTAGCTCATTGAAAAACAAAAAATGAAGTCATTTATGCTCCTCTTTGTTGGCTCCAAACATTGCTCCTGTAACATTCTCTTATTACTTTTTCTCCTGCTGCTGTCAGTTCTGCAGGCGGCTTGTGTCTACAGCAGAGCAGTGTCAAACAGCTGCTAAGGAGAAGCTAGAAGCTGACGCTAAGCTAAAGAGGCAGAACTTTGGCAGCCATTTGTACAGCCCTCCTAAAAGCTCATTGGCATCAGCTTCATCTGCATCACCAGCTCAACATGCGGAATCAGACTCCACTGCCAAAAAAGGTATTGAACAGAGGTTTTAGAGCAGGTTCACCCCAAATCTCCACAGTGCAGCCCTATGACCTGTTTTGATTAATGAGTAATAGCTCTTTTATTGATCAATTTTTCATCACCAATGTGACAAATCACCCCATTAAGGTAGTCCATGTTTCATAATCGCCAAACAATTAGGGCAGCTTGTTTAAAGGGCGGAGACATCAAAGTGTTTTGATTCTGGTAGTTATTACTGCCATTATAAAATTGACAAAAAAAAATCTACTTTGGTTTGAAACCACTTGGATTCAGTCAACTGCATTTTTTCAGTAAAGAAGCTGTAGATTCTCTGTCAATCCTCCTTTGTAAGTTTGCTTTTTAAAATTTAGAACCCAACTGTTCAAGAAAGGATTGGAAGGGCGGAGCTCTGGGATGATAAGGCGAGTGAGGGCCCAACATTGGGAAGATGGATTGGGTTGATTTAAGTGGTCAGTCCATGTTCTTGTTATTGATTCGGGGAGGATTCCACCACTTCTCACTGGGGAGGTGATGAGGGATTAGAGAGGAGGAGCAGTCAACCACCACTGCAAAAACAAATGAGCTCCCACGCAGTAGTCTGGATTATCACGTTATTGTGCCTCTCCCATGTATTGATTTCTACCTGTTGCGCTTTATCAAGGCTTTGACCTGATCATCAAATGGGTTATTTTTGTAGCCTCGATAATGTTTTGATGCAGGTTTTGCTTTCATTCAAGCTGTAATTTTACTTATTTCTTTGAATATTATTAAAACTTTCAGAGTTTCATTTTAACCACATAAATCTAAAGGTGGATTACAGGGGGTTCATTTATTTCTGTATCTGTCTGATTACTCACATTTCGAATCGTCCTGATTTTCTGAGATTGGTAACAATCCGCCCCTTCATAAAAAATAGGAAAAAAATTCTACCCTCAGTTTATCTTCAAGGAATAATGTTATGCAAGAAAATTAATTTGAAGGGGTGCCTTTAGTGATTTCATGTGGCAACGTAATTACAGGGCGCTAGATCTCGAGATTACACTTTCTCAGAACAAAAAGCAAAGTCTGCATTATCACTTGAACTGTGCAAAAAGACTTCCAAGAAGGCAGACCATTGATTGAATTTTATCACGTAGCTAATTTTGGTTTTGGAGAACTGGGTACTGTTTGCATAGACTCCTGAACTGCTGTTAATTTGCCTAAGTCATAAATTAGTCTTTTTTAAAATGGAGTATTTTTCTAACTACTGTGTGTGTTTCTCAGACAGCCAGTCCTCCTTCCGTCCTCCTTCCGCTCGCAGCAGACGGTCGTCCCTGTCAAACTCAGTCACAATGGCATCCAGCAGCAGTAAGGCAGGCAAAGTTCAGGAACCGTCAGGGTTACAGGTAACAGAAGCACTTGTCCTAAATGTTTGGAAATGTCCTGAAATGACATGAAGTCCTGCTTTCTGTATAAAGCAGCATTTATGAAAACCTCTTGGTGTTTCTATGTCCATACTAATGAACACTGGTAGTTCTTTAACACATTTTTTCCTTCCATTAAACTTTTTATTGATATGCTTGCCTAGAGCACTATGAAAATAATATTTTGTGGCAATATAACATATAACACAATAACATAATATTTCTGCAATGAAACCCATTTTATTTATGTAATGATCAAATTTTCTAAAATGCAGTTGTGGCAGTTCATCAGATGTACAATTTAATTATGAAAATGAATGTTTAACATAAATCGCGTGGTTTATGGTCCTTATGATATCTGATATCATAAGGATATCAAATACTTATGATATCCCTCGTTGTTTCTTTGTCCATACCTAATGATCAGCGTACAGTCTTGGTCTCTTGGAACTTTAGTGCATTTTTTCCCTGTGTTAAACTTTTTGTTGACATGCTTGGATGGAGCACTTCTACCCACCTTCTTTAGCAATAATATTTTGTGACAAATAGCATATTTCTGCAACAAAACCCAATTTGATAAGTTTATGTAATGATAAAATTTTCTGAGAAACCACTCATGGGACATTTTATGAAAATATTTTTTTAATATACAGCACAGGGCACTAAATACTACGAGTAACCCAGTTATTTGAATTATATTCCTATTTCTTAAGTTCCACCTGTACATACAGTACTATTAACTATATAGTTTATTGTAAATGCCAAATCTAACATTATTTACCAAACGTTATTTACGTTTGGTAAATAACTGGATATCTTTTTGTCTTTGTATGGAGTATGGCGTTACAAGGAAGACCCAGCGTGCCGTGCAGCCACGTGGATGGCTGAAAGTAGCCTGGGGTGGATAGATATACACTGTATTGATCTGGCGCTCTTTGTTTTCACTCTTTTTGGCTTAACCCTGGCTGGTTTGCTTTACAGCAAAACGAAAAAAAGGTAAATAAATAAATAAACAGAACAGAACAGGTCTAAGCACTGTGTTGAGATTGGAAACGGCCAGACATCATAAAGGGTAACAGAATGTGTGTCCAGAGAGCACCTCGAAGGGGAACTTCTGCTCCCTGGATTGGCTCCCTATATAGCCACAGGCTAATAACTACAACTGATGGAGGGTGGATGTGTTGCTGCATAAGTATGCAGATATTGTTGCATCTTCTGAGACACAAATATTTCCTTGTACTCAGAAATCTACATGGCAATCATTTATGTTTTCCTATGGCTTTTTATGTGTAGATAAGAGCAGAAAGAGATTAAAGGAGGTTTAATATACTGTGTATGTGAGTGTGCTTGTGTGTGTGGCCGGTTTGGTGTCCTGCGACCCTGTGAAACAGTAAATCAGACCTGTGGCTGGAGCAGGTGACAGAGCCTGTATTAGTCTGCAGGCTGACCCTCTCTCTATGGAGGCATTAATTCTGATGTCCTTAACCAGTGGATGGGTGCCCATGGCATTTTCCCTCATTTAATATTGTCTGGACAAACCACCGAAGTGTTATGGTTTGATCTTTTATGCCTCTCACAGCCCAAGATAAATACTCTGAGAAAATGGCTTTTCTCTAAAGGAGTGGCATGCTCCGTCTTTATGGCACTTTTCTTTGTTTAACTTGGTGATTTATTTGTCAACTAAAAAGATATATGGCCTATTCTAGCCTTGCTTGGCCCTCAATGTGCTTTTTACTGTGTCCACGTCAACTGTGTTTTCATTTAATGTGTCTCCAATGAGGGGAATGAAAACTTCCCTGTGTTGATGTTCCTGTTCAATTTCAAATTATTACCTAATTTCGGTTGTGTAGCCAGACAAAGCAACAACGGGATTGCAAAATGGAAGAAATATTAGAATTCATAAATATCACCAAAGTAGCCCCTGGACGCTTTTGAATGACTGCTCGCTCAAGATTGAAGAGGCCATATTTATCAAGGTTAAATGGACTCCAATTTGCCCCAATCAGGTCCAGAAGGGAGACTTTCCCCAGCCCTCTGCAGACCCAGAGTGTGACACTTCTGCCCTCTTCTGGCCAGCACAAGAATAGCATCTGTTTCATGCCAATGAGTTAATAAAAAAAAGAATGTTGCAATGAATTTTTCCGCTAAAGATTTGAGTGGTAATTATAACTGTGGCAGCCTTTGTTAATCAACTGAGCTTCTTCAGCTTATTTATGCCAAACTATACATCCTCTGTCACAAGATCCATCCTGCTTTAAATAGGAAGTCCTAATTAGTTTTGGTTTCTGTTGACTGAATAAATGAATTTTCTTGTGTAGTACTGTCAGGATCTGAGCTGAAGCCACACACATAAACATGTCGAGATGCATAAAGCAGAATTGAATCTTGATAAGTATTATAAAGACCTTTAAGCAGAGATAACCATATTTTTATGATTGTTCTCCTGATTTGCCATCCAGACAACCATTAGAAATGTAAACCAGGAGTGTTTTCTGTCATTGCAGGATTGGCATCACTGCTTTATGAAAGGCTGCTTCTTTGTGGACGATAACAGCAGCATTAGCTCTTTGCAGTACCACCTTCATCTTCCTCAGAAAACCAGTGTATATCTAACCATCCAGCCGCTGAGCTTCAGCCACAGACCTGGTTAGTTTCAACATTTTCTTGAAAGAAAAACATGCAAGACTGTGGCATACACAGCGAAACGTTGTAGCTTGGAGAAGCCCTTTGCAAGTTTTTTTTTTTTTACAATTGGTAAAATATTGTATGATGTTGCCTGCAAAATGCCTTTAACAGAAAGCAGTACTTCACACTTTGCTTTAAGAAGCAAGGTTTTATCTGACATTTTTAAATTAGACTACAGCAATTTTGAGTAAGGATTTATTTGGGTCAGATGCAATTTTTAGGGCATATAAAATTCCAACATATAGTAGATTCATTACCTTTCATGGGCCTATTTTTCATACTTTAGCTCATCAAGTTTAATTTCGTATGAAGGATCTGCCATACAGCTACATGGTGGTGCAGTTGGTCGTTCTGCTGCCTTGCAGCAAGGTCCATGGTCTCAATGTAGTTTCCTGGAGGTCCTCTCTGATTTTATTTGTCATCATTGTCCTAATTCATAGAAAATACATAATGTGTGTTATTGATTTTAAAAATAATTTGTGAAAAAAAAAACAACAACATTTTCTGTTTTCATTTTTTCAGATAAGCCTCCAGCATGGATGAACGTGGACACGGCTGTTTTTGTCATGACAGCAGGTGAAACCAAAGAGGACTCGGCTTTAGTGTGTTTCACCGAATCAAAAGACAAAGAAGTATGTTTAATGTAAATAGGCTCTTTCATTACCAGATTCATTCGTGTTCTAAATCTATGATACATAGAATCAAACATCAGTGTTCCTACCTGCTGTTGTAATTCCTGTCTGTCTGCACTTGTGAGATTATTTGTTGATTTTTTTTTTGTTCTTGTAGAAGTATGTTTGGAAAGGAGAACTAAATGCTGGGACTTACCGCCTGCTTCCCTTCACCAGTGGGTGCAGATTAAAGAAACAAAACAAAAGTGACTTTTCGGATAAATCTGTCAAACTTGTCTACAAGACAGACACGGGAGAACTAGACCTCACCAGCGAGCTGAGGTAAACCTCTGATGTTGATATCTGTTGCTGCCACAGAGTTTGAATGGAAAATGCTCATATGTCGTGTTTTATAAAGGAAAAGATGTCATTTATCTGCAATATTCTGTTTTTGCCACAGGGAGGTGCTGTCTGAAATCTTTGAGATGATTGACCTGGATGGGAATGGTTTGCTAAGCCTGGATGAGTACAACCTGTTTGAGCTAAGGACCAGTGGGGAGAAGTGTGATCAGGATGCCTGGGCAGTGTGTAAAGGTAGACACTAATCAAAGCAATTTAATGTGAAGAGTGCCCCCGGGTTTTTATTGTTCTTTTATGCTTGTGGGGCCAGAAAACTTTGATATGAGGAAAAACCAGCTGACCCGGCAGGGTTTTATGGAGCTGAACCTGATGGAGGCCACAGAGAAAGATGGAGACCCCGCAGACCTATGGGTCACACTGGAATCTATGGGTTACAATCATATGCTGGAGTTAGTAGAGGTAGGTGAGCACATGTTATTAACTAATTCATAAAAGTTCACTCATTTAGTTTTGTGGTGTAGGATGAATGTCAGCCGGTTAAACAAACATTTCCTCCCACTCTGTAAGGCATGTCCATTCCAAATAGATGTGCACTGTGAAGGCACTCAGCCATCCATGCAACCACTTTCCTTGGACTCAGGCACCAAGCTTTTGAACCAAGCCCTCCAGAAATCCATCACCTCGAGGTTTGGGGCCAAAGCACTTCGAGGGCATGACAACGTCTTCATCTACACCTACAGAGGAGACCACCGGATTTCCTCCCTCATAGTCAACAAGGTGGACCAAAAACTTGTTTATTCTTATCTAGCTATGAGGGTAACAATTAAGTTTTCAACACTCATTAGAGACATGAATTTTAGATTATCTGGGGCTTTTAATGGTTTGAATTGTGTTTTTGTTTGTTTGTTTTTTTGTTTTTTCAAGCTTGCATACATGCAAGTACCCCAGGAATATTTGTTGGAATGTCTTTTAGTTAGTTGCAGACAAATCACAGTTTTTGTCAATATCAACAAGGTGCTGTCATGATTCTCGCTACGTATTTGACCACACCCTTGGTAGAGATGATAGAGCTTATCTAAAATAAAGTTTACTTTAACTAGAGACAGACTCAGTTGGAACATCCATTTGTGTCCAGTTTCCAAGCTTTCACCCTCAGATAGAAGAACATTCATTTTGAAAAGTCTGAGCTGTTTGTCCACAATAAGAAGTTTGAAAAAACTAACTTGAGGTTTTTAACATCAGAACATTGTAGCAGCTGTCAAACATGTCAGTGGTAGTACCGTGCTGAGGGTTTGTTTCAATACAAGTTGCAAAGTAGATGGGTTGAGAGGAATATGAACTTCATTTCCCAGGACCTTAGCTAACTCAATCAGTAGTTCTTATTCATTTCAGAACCATTGACATGCAGGAGGGGTGTCTATTCTCTTGGCAACAAAAGCTACACTTAAAGAATGGCTGTTGGGCTCAGAGAACAACTGAGGAGAGAATGTTGTTTAGATTTTTACCATGACTTAATGGTATGCAAAGACAAATTTGTGTAAACCTTTTTATTCTTTTAATCCTATTTACCTGTTTAAACTATATTCTATGTTTTCATAGATTTAAATTGGAGAAAGTTAAGCTCTGCTTTCTGTTCTGCAGGCAACTCAGAAAGTGACGGTTCATGTAAACAATGAGCAGAGCAGGAACTGCTGCAGCAGCAGAGGGATGGCTACGTTTGCTGTTGAAGTTCCAGCCAGGACCAAAATGGTAAAAAATTGTTTTTAAAAATCACTAAAAGCTGGTGTTCTCTCCAACCTTGTGTGTCTGTTGTTGTGAACATTTTATTAGCAGTATGACAGTAGCAAGCTTGAGTATTTTTCAAGATAGTCACACTGTAGAAATATCTGCCATAGATTCATTTGGAACTTTTGTATTTTTAAAATGGGCTAAAGGAGATTGAGAATTCAGAAAATTTAAATTGGGAAAAGTAAGAAATTTTAGGTCTGAAAATGTGTGTGAACCCCTGACTATACCCACAGAAAACAGAAAAAATAAAAGTAAACCAGTTCTGGTGTTATGACAGCTTAATATTGTACCACAACACATTGAATGATTATTTTAAATCTTAGATTCTAATACAAACATGTATTTCTTTTACCTGTAGGTGTGCCAACACGTGCTACCCATTAATGAAAAGCAGGAATGGGTCTATAACTGCGTGGAGACCAGTTTACCCAGCACATAAAACTGAAACTACTGAACATATTGCAATTATAAGAAGGTTATACGACAGAAAGACTCTCTGAAGCCTGTGTTGGAAGGTTCTACTTCTGGTAATCTATTTCAATTCTGAAGATTGTTGTATTTCATTTAAAATTTAGCAAAGTTAAATGACATATTTTATCATGTCAACTTACGCATTGTTTGAGAAAACTGAGAACTTCTTTAATGGTCACATTCATTAGCTCCATTAGTAAGAATCATGCAACCTATTACAACCACAAGGTAACAGTGAATAAAAGACAGTTTTCCCTTTGTGTATTAGTCTACTTCATGTTGGTTGTTTTTTTTTAGTTTTTTTTTATTGAAACCTGATTTTAATGTTGAAGTCACAAAAAGACTAAGACTGCTCTACAAACTGCATATCAAATTATCATATTCAGATGAGAATGAAAGAGCGCCCAACATTGGTGCTAACATGTATTTAATTGACAGCAGATGCCTCTCATTCAACACTTGGTCTGTCAATTGACAATGTTTATTTTTTACAGTGAAATTCAGTGAAACTTAAAACTATTGGTAAGTTTTCTAGTGTGGTTGTGTCAGGATGTGTTGTTTTCAGTGAAATGCATTCCTCTGGACTGCACTCTGATCTAATCTTTACTTGGCCTCGACCTTTCCAGTGCATTCCTGACCTCCTATTTTTGTCTCTTGGGTCATTATCTGCCCTTTGACTTTCACTGCTGAAACAGTCGAGCCAGCTGACTTAAATGTCACCTGGCATTTGAGATGTATTTAATAACCTGAGCCTGTCTGCTCTCCTTTTCCCAATACAGTAGTATCACTCTGTGCTCTGCAATGTTGTTTCAGTTTAACCACAGTAATTGTCTCTCAATAAGGCAGTGTGTGGTACTTCAGAGTAAAACATTCAAAAATAAAACAGGTGTGAAGGCCAAAAACATGATTGTCCACCTGGGCAAGGAAGGAAGAAATCAGAGAAGCACCCATTACTGTAATTTTCTTACTTTCATTATATCATAATACTATGTCTGGCTGGAAATTATCAATGTACATCACTCTGAAAATACCATTCCCACTGAAATCAAATCATATTCATATCATAGAGTGGCCTAGTCAAAGTACAGACCCAATTATAATTAAGGATCTATATCAAAACTTCAAAATCTTCAAAAACCTCAGCTATTTTACAAAGAAGATTAGAAAATGTATCAATTTGTAGGGAATGTGAGGTTGCTTAAAACCAAAAAAAACTTTCAGAAAAAAGGATTTTACAAAGTATTCTCAGTTGTGTTGGATAAAAATGCATGTGACACTTTCACACATTTTATTTGTAAAGAAAAAATGGAAAAAAGAAAACCTTTTCTCTTCAAGTTCATAAAAATACACTACTTTGTGCAAATCTATCTCATAAAATCCCCTAAAGCTTGTGGTAATAAAGAAATATGGAAAAAAGTAGTTTAAGGTTTATGAATACCAAAGTGGAAACCACTTGAATTTTAAAGTTCTAAAGAAAAAAGGGGTTCTGTTGACCAAGCAGTGTGATGCAACAGGCAAACTGTTGTGGCAAGTTTTGAGATATGTCCCAACAATTTTGTTTTGTAATCCACACTTTAAATTGACGCTTTAAAACTGAATCCGACAGTGTACATGGACAGCTTTATTAACAGTTTATGTTTAAAAACCAATTGCTTTTGCACATGTAAGCAACATTTTTTAACTTTCTGTTTCTATATTTACACTGATATGCTTTGAGGGTCACTGGCCTTCCAGAGTACATAGCTGTACTCTGGAAGTTATGTACTTTAACCAGAGTACAGAGGTCTGAAATGTAGGTGGTGTTAATCTAAATTTGTTAAATCACTTTTTCACATATTTCTCAACTAACATTGCTAAACATTATGTGAATCTCTTAATGAATACATAGACAAAATCAAATCAAATTTTATTTGTATAGCACATTTCAGCAAGGCATTTCAAAGTGCTTTACATCATAAACACAAGAATACAAAGTCATGCAACATATAATAGACAATACATTGTTACATATTAGATTTCAAAAATGTAAATAATGCAGTAAATGTTATTACTTATTTAAATTCTGTTTTCTAGCAGGTTTTGTTTTAAAATACTAAGCATTAAATTAAATTTAATTATATTTTATTTAGTTGTAGCACCAATTCACAGCAGATGTACTCTCAAGTCACTTTCCAAGTCAAAAAAGGTCCAAATCATATAAAATCAAATCTATTCCAATACAAAGCAGTGATGGTTCAAAAAGTGGGAACATTTAGTAATTTTATATCTTGGTTTACTAGTAAACCAAGATATAAACCAAGACATATTTACTTACTTAGTAAGTAAATAATTCATGACTTTGTCCAGAAAGGAGACAAAGCTGAACACAGAATCACTGAACCATGAGTACTTTCAATAGGAAAGAACAGGTACACTGCAAAAACACTTAATCTTACCGAGTATTTCTTTTTTCAAGTTTAGTGCAAACATCATAATACACTTGAAATTGATTTAATTAATTTACAACTTTTCAGCAATATCTAGCTTATTTTAAGCAAATAAGTCTCATTGATAAAAGGTACTGGGTGCACTGACATATTTTGTTTTCACTTACAACATCAGAAAATTGTAGTAAATTGTATATTACTTATTTCAAAAATATTTGCACAGTAGCATTGATATTTCAATAACATTGTTGAAGAAATGCCACAATCATTGGACCAGGGGTACTTTCAATAGAAAAAAAAAAAAAAAAAGGAAACAGAACAGGAAAAACTAGAAAATTCCTGAAGAAATTTAACCGGGGCCCTGCCAAAGTGTGCCCGTCGATTTGGATCCAGCGTTCTGATGCTAAACATTAGCATCCATTGGAAAGAAAGCTGCAATGTCATCAATACAATGTGGAGTCACAAGCATGACTGACTGCATTCAGTATACTAAATATGGGTAATAAGTAAGGGAAATAGCTAATAGCTCATGCAAGGTAAAAGGCTAAATAATTCTCTTATGACTGTATTTTACAGAGCATACAGTTTACGTTTGTTTTACAACTAAATTGATGACTGGGCCATAAAAAACACTAAATGTCTTTTGTTGCATTTGACTTTCATTTAACACGTGTTTTAAATGAATGCTACTTTGACCAGTGTTCAAGAGTTATCTCGCTGCTGGCTGTGAGGAAATCCTCCTCGGCTTGGTTCCCACTTGCCCTTTAAACACGCAGGGCGGGTTTGTGTGTGAAGAGGTCGGGGTAGCTGCCTACGTGTAGCCGCTTTGCTCCTGCAGTCGCTCGGACCACACTGCGGATCACACGGGCTGCACTCTGGGTGTCAAAGATGGTGAAAATAACGACCGTGAAGACCAAACCGTACACGGACCAGAAGCCCGGGACGAGCGGGCTGAGGAAGCGGGTGACGGTGTTCCAGCAGAACCAGCACTATGCGGAAAACTTCATCCAGAGCATTATCTCCGTCATCGACCCAGCCGAGCGGCAGACGGCCACGCTGGTGGTGGGAGGTGATGGGAGGTTTTTTATGAAGGACGCGATTCAGCTCATCGTTCAGATTGCAGCAGCCAACGGGGTCAGTTGGATAAAGTGAATTATGAAAACTGCTGCTGTTAGCCTGTGTGGTGAGCTAATTTAGCACGTCTGCTAGCAAGTGTAAATCTCGCTAGCTGTCAAGGTTGTTGACTATTTGATTCTTACATTCCACTGGACTTTCAGGAGATATAACACTACGTTACTTCATTTCGTTTAATTGTAATGCTTATTGTATTTCATACTGAAATATAGTTAATATTAACCTAATAAGCGTTTTGCAAGAGTAAAAAGCATGCTTCAGTTAATAATAAGCTGATAGATAATACGTGATGCAACTGGTGCTATCAAGCTGTCGATTGTCCCCAAAGGTTGCAAAATAACCGTGCGAGCCATTGCAAGCTCTCTCCATTCGCTTGGTTGGAGCAACAACAGCATTCCTGCCTTCACTTGTCAGTCTCTGATTATTACACGACTTACAGTTTAGTCTGCGATTATGAAAAACTACCTGGCTGTTTCAGAGCCTTTCAGAGTGAACTACTCTTGTATGCCTTCTGTGTACTTTACCAACAACCTACATGGCAGCAGATGTCCTTCATATGAGGTGCAGAAGGGATCTTTATGGCAAGCGCTTGTATAATCAAACCGCAAACCGTTTTTAGTATTTTTTTTTTAACTATTTCAAAGATAAATAAGATAAGAAAAACTAAGTACAAGTATCAGAATTTATGAACTTAGGAAAAACTATTATGATGTTTACATAAATTTGATCCTTCTCCTTTCTGCCCTCCAACCAGTAGTTGCATATAATTGTCACTATTCCAATGCAATAGCAGCAAAGTGACATGCAGTTGAAACATGTAGCCTCATACAAAAATGAGAATATAAAATATAAATAAAAACTGAATTAAGAATAACATTGGAAGTAGCTTTCTCCCATCTAAAGGAGTAGGGTCATTAAAAAAGCACACGATATTAAGTTTGTTTGTATAGCATATTTCAGCTACAAGTCAGTTTAAAGAACTTTCCATTATAAAAGCACAACATTAAAAGTCATAACAACCACCACATGGTCAAGAATTGAGAAACCAGTAACAAACATTACCAATACACATCAAATATGTTGGTCAATGTTCCATTTACTAAAAAGCAAAGTGCATGTGCATTTGAGCATGAAAACAGACTATTTACAATAAGTGACGAAACATTTGTGGAAATGGAGATGTGCAAATAACAACAATAATGTTATTTAATATACAAATATTATCAGATCTCACTGGATTTGAACTACAGTACCAGTTGCCAATCCACCATAGGCTGAACCCATATTGTGTCATAAAATGACATCACACATTTATTACATTGAGAAATACAACTTGCAATTATTATTAATGCGTATATATATGACATTATATTTCAAGTGTTTGAAAACCTCTTGCATTTGCCACAATATCAGATGTTTAGCGTGAAATTTTCTTGTTGAAATTCTGATATTCAAAACAATATCCCAATGCGATTTTCTTTCTTTTGAAACAGACATGATTCAGACGACCATAATACTCATTTCAGTTAAACCCGGCTTACTATTAAATAGTGAAACAGCTTGCCACATAAACCATTACCTTTGACATTTGTGCACTAACACTGCTGCAGTTTGCGGCTTGAAGGGTTGAAACCATTTCACTTGCTTACTACGGAGTTCCCGCTTGCGTAGTTTTAAAAGAAATATGCAAAGCAATTGGA